TGACTGCATGAAACCAACTGTCGCTTTGGTAGGGCATGCCCACTTTTCTGTTGTCAACATTCTGAAGACTCCCGAAAACTGGGTTAGACCGGTTGTCATTTAAAGCGACCGAATCACGGGACGAATGAAAAGTAACAATAACAACCACAAGCAGGCTGATAATTTATGAAAGTGCTTTGGATCCTGATGGAAGGAATAGAAATTGGAGTGACTCATCTTTCTTTCTTTCTTTCTTTCGACGACGACGACGATGATTTAAAAAAGAAAAAGGATCCATTAAAAATTATAATTGTCTTTTATTATCCATAACTTTATATGCCTTAACATAAAAACATGCATATTATGAAACTAATACGGGAAAATGGTACCATTACAATATTTATTAACAATTGCAAAAATAAAAAACAAAAACAAAACAAAAACAACAAAAGACATCCCCACCCTCAAAAAAAAAAAAAAAAACCACAAAAAAATCCAAACAAACGAGTGTGTGTATTTGCATTCACAAAACCAAAATCTGCAAGAAGTTACAACGTAACCCGCAGGTGACTTTTGTCTAAAAATAGCGTACCTCAACGTGTTGGTCAGATTTAGAGATGAAAAAGTAATACGTACAAACCAGTCTGAACATTCAACTGGTTGCCCACTGACTGAAGTGTCTTAGGCCATTCCCAAAGAAGGGACATTTCTCGTTCAAGCATAGTAGAATTGTAAATGGGCTGACTCATGTCACGCTCATAACTGTGCCTGATCTACAACAGGGAACTGCTGCTTTTTCTTTCCTGATCCTTACTATTGTCATTTTCCTCTACTTATTTTGTATGTTTGTCACTCTCTTGTGACCTGCTTTTTGTGCCTTGATAGTCGAAGCAGACCTTGTGCTGTTGAAGCTAGAAAGGTGAGCAGTCTAAGTCTGATTCCCTGTAAAGACTTCTCTGTTGACACCCATCCCTTGGCGCTCATATGACCTTATGCAGTTGCGAGCGCCGTAAAACCATCTCATCATCATCATCCAGTGCCAGATCTGCGACAGACATCGGCGATCATGGTTTTCCATTCATTCCTTTGCTCGGATGCTCTCAAAAAGCTACGTTTCCCAGATCTTTTCCTGTTACCCATTTGTTTAGGTTCCGTAAGTATGTTGTTCTGGGTCTACCCCTGCCTCGCCTGCCCTCAATTTTGCCAGTGAGAGCTAGATGTTCAAGACCCTTATGTCTATTCAGGTGTCCCAAAAACTGCAATTGTCGTTTCCTGATTGTTTTTAACATTGAGCGTCCCACGTGGGCTTCATCAAGCACTACCTCATTTGATTTATTTTCCTTCCACGATACTCTTAGCAGTCTCCTAAGAAACCACATTTCTGTTGCTTCTATTTTATTTTCACTGTCTTTAGTGATTGTCCAGCATTCAAAGCCATATAGAAGGGTTGACCAAACGTAGCATTTCAGGACTTTCATTTTTGTTGTTCATTGAGATGTTTCTATTTTTCAGGATTGGGCTCATTTTTTATTGAAACTAGCCTTAGCCATTGTAGTTCTCCTTTTTTATTTCTGTGGAACATTTGGCGTCAGATGTTATCATATATTATCCGAGATATTAAAACTGTTGGACTTGTTTGATCTTTTCACCTTTGCTAATGAGATTACAACTAGGGTTTGCTGCTTTTTTGGATATTACCATGCATTCTGTTTTCTTTACATTCAACAATAATCCTTTACGTTCACTTTCTGTTACAACAGTATCTAGAAGCAATTGAAGGTCCTTTTCGGAGCCTGCTATTAAAACTGTGTCATCTTCATACCTGATGTTATTAATATTTTCTCCATTTACTTTGAGGCCTTGACATTCTTTTATGTTTCTAAGGATTGTTTCACTGTGCATGTTAAAGAGGTCTGGTGATATAACACATCCTTGCCTCACTCCTCGCCTGATCCTCTACCATAACCATCTACTATAAAAAATAATTCAACTGGTGCGGCCCACAATTCTAGCAATAGAGCCAATCCAGTGACCCCAACAATTTGTTAATATTATCTTCAGTTCGGACAATGTGTAATGTGTATGCGGTAAATGTTTACACACACTCACACACAAACGCATACATATTATTCACATACTCACACATATATACATACACACATACACACACAAATACACATACACATACACACACATACACCACACGCACACACACAAACATACAC